TTCCCACCCAGGGTAAGCCCCCACCGTCCCAGTGTCTATGTCCATTGGTTATGCTAATATGCATGCTTACAAGTCCTTTGGTTGCTCTCTAACTCCCCCACCTCCCCTGCCATTTGTCTCTGGCTCTATTTTTGTTCATCAATTTATGTTGATCATTTTATCCCACATACGAGTGAGATCATGTGATATTTACCTTTCAACTTTTGTCACTTTTTTATAACTTAACTTCATATTAATACAATTATATGTATTTGTTAAATAGTGAGAAAAGAAAAAAATAACATCGCATGTAATAAAGCAGGACCATAACACAGCAAAACAAGACCATATTTGTTGAAAATAACAAATTCCCACCCTGTGCAAGAATACCTTTCTCAGCATTCTTGACTGGTTCATTTAGCCTTTATTTGAACACCAGTAATGGAGAGCTTATTGCTATACAAGGCAGTAAATTCCATTTTTTGAACAGTTAGAAATTCTTTCTCCTCTTGAATTGAAATCTGCTTTAGTGTAACTGTCTTCTTTACATCTGAAAACTGACTTTAGGAGCCACCCATCAGCCAGCTTCCTTAAATTCAATTTGAGTTTACTAAATTCAATATGTTAAATTGTGATAGTTCAAAATAACTTTCAGACCAAAAGAACTAATTTATTTCCTTCTTTATTTGTGTGTGCCTGTAATTGTGTGGGACTCAGGAGATATTAAAAGCTATCCAGGATGTAACGATAAAGCGAGAAGAAACAAAGAAGAAGATAGAGAAAGAAAAGAAAGAGTTTTTGCAGAAGGAGCAGGATCTGAAAGCTGAAATTGAGAAACTTTGTGAGAAGGGCAGAAGGTAAATGATGCTATTAAGAATAAAAACCCTATGTATATGTGTATGTATATGTGCATAAGGGGCCAGTCCTGTTTGTATTTCTAGTTTCTTTTCTCTCAGTCTAATTTTTATTTTAAAAACAAGTACACAAATAAAAATCCTCTACTGATTTTAGCTTTTCCAGTACCCTATGTTAGAGTTAATAAAGGAACTTTCAGAGATTCATTAATACCTTGAAATAATAGCAGCTAATTGTTGGGTCCCAAGTTTGATCAATATTTTGATAGGCATCTACCACCTATTTTACTTGCTTTATAACCTGATTTTTTAAAGGTTCAGTCTATGAGAATACTTTGATTATATTTATGCTATTCAGTACCAAAAGTAAATTTCTAAAAGTAACACTCTAAGTTATTTGTAAAGAATTGTATAGTGGATCTGTGACCTCTTTGGGCACTGCAGCAAGAGTAAGATGGGCATAGGTCTTGATCACATTTTCAGTCTTTCAGATTTCTTAGCCTGAGCTGTTTGGAAATCAAAATAACTGTGAATACCATGGTGACTTTATTTAAATTCTACTAAAATGTATTTTTCTTTATCAAAGAAATCTTGGTTTGCTAATATGTGAAAGAGCTAAGTGAAAAGTAGCAAGCTCATTTGCTGAATCATTTTCCAAGCATAAAAGATGATAATTGTGAAAAGTCAACATGAGAAAGAATGTTTAGAAGATGGCCTAAAGACCAATTAGTTGTTCTGTTGAGAATCTAGTGATAATGATTAGAAGATGGGTCCATGATGATCCATATGCCAGCAATTATGAAGAATGTATAAGAAGCAGAACACTGTACTAGGCTTTATTGTCAATCCAAACAGCTAACACCACTGCCCAACAACATGGCCTGTGCCATCGTCTTCATAGTCTCTGTGTAGGCACCTGTAAGCAACTTAGCAGCAGATATCTTAAACAGCAGAAGTTGGGAAGGTGAGTCTGTAATTTTATACTAAGCTCCATGAAAGATTTCCTTTTGGTGTGTGCTCCATACACTCTACATATCTCTCTTCTTTACCATCTGATTGGGTAGCTGCAAATGGTGATTGATAACAATTTGGTAGTCTTAAGGATGCAATTGGGTTTTTTTATGCATGTCATGCTTTCTGTCATTCTGTTGAATTTGGGGTTCATTTTTTCAGAAGTAGGGGTAGAAGTCTTCTGTTTGTATCTTTGTTCTAGCAGTGATGTATAGGTTTAGTTTAGCATTCTATTAAACATAGGAACTGTGGGCACAAAGATTTTGGTCATTGTATTAATAAGTATGCTCAGGCTCCCATAGCAGAGTACCGTAGACTGGATGGCTTAAACAACAGAAACTTATTTTCTCATAGTTCCCGAGGCTTGAAGTCCAAGATCAAGATGCTGGCAGGGTTGGATTCTGGTGAGACCTCTCTTCTTGGTTTGCAGACACAACTTCCTTCTTGTTGTGTCCTCACATGGCCTTTCCTCTGCACGCACACTCCTGGTGTCTTGCTTCTTCCTATAAAGACACCAGTCCTATTGGATTACAACTCCATCCTAATGACATCATTTGATTTTAATTACCTCCTTAAACACCCTGTCTCCACATGCAGTCACATTGGGGATTAGGCTTCAACATACGAACTTGTGGGGGGCACAATTAAGTCTATAACAGACATATTTGCTATTTGTAGCTCTTTCATGCATTTGGCCAATCTTTATTGAATATCTACTGTAAGTCAAACAGTATGGGTCTGGGAAATCAAAAGCCCTCAAGGAGCTTACTGGTTAATAGGGGAAATAGGTAAATAAATGGATAATTACAAAAGAGTATAATGATACCAGGATACTGGTACCATTACAGCGGTTCTCAACCTGTGGGTCTCGACCCCTTTGGCGGTCGAACGACCCTTTCACAGGGGTCACCTAAGACCATCCTGCATATCAGATATTTACATTACGATTCATAACAGTAGCAACATTACAGTTATGAGGTAGCAATGAAAACAATTATATGGTTGGGTCACAACATGAGGAACTGTATTTAAAGGGCCAGAAGGTTGAGAACCACTGCATTAGAAGAAGCATGTAACCAGACTGGGTAGGGAGAGTCAGGACTTTCCAGGGGAAATTATTCCAAAATTGAGTCCTAAAAGATAAGGGGAAACAAGACCAGCAAGTGCAATGTATCATCCTTGGTTTGATCCTGCGTTAAAGAAACTATAAAGGACATTTTGGAATAATTGGGAAAATTTGAATATAGACTACATATTAGGTAATACTATCAATGCTAAATATTTTGAATGTGATTATGATTTTTGTGATTATGTAGTAAGTTGTACTTGTTAAAGTTTTAGGGTTTAAGCCTCCTCTTTGTTAACCTCCAAATAAAATCTAAACAGTTATGTGAGTAGCAGCAATTCCTAAATTGTATGTATAAGCTTTCTGCCTTTTAATAGTAATAGTGAATTTTTCTGACACTTGTCAATTAACTTAATAATGAAGATCATCTAATTTCAAAATAAAATAAAATAAAGTTTTAGGGTTTAAGTTTCATGATGTCCAACTTTCAGGTGATTCAGAGAGAGAGGTAAAATAAATGTGGCAAAAAAGTGTAACAACTGCTAAATCTAGAAAAAGGGCATATTTGTTCATTGTACTACTCTATTAGTTTTTCTGTTGGTTTGAAACTTTCAAAGAAACATTTGCAGTGGTGAGAATTGGCCAGGCAAAGAATAAGAGAAAGACATTGCAGCCAGGAGGCCCCCAGGGAGGTAGCGACAGATGTGAGGTGGAAAGGAATGAGCTACCAAAGTAGTTAGAAGCCAGATCATAAAAGACTCACTCGGTAGAGGGTTTGGGTTATTGCCCTGATAGAGATTTTGAAAGATTTTAAGGTGCGAAGGGTAACAAAGGATGAGATTTGCATTTTAGGTCTATGACTTTGACAGTTGGAAAGTAGATTGGGGTAGTGTAGAGGACGCTTTGGAAGACTGATCTGTCAGGACCGAGGTTAGAGTAATGGTGGCCCAAACTCAGATGTTATCAGTGGGGAGGCAAGAAGTAAACATGTTTGTAAGATGTTGGGGGTAGCACCGGTAGGTAGACAGGGAAAAGTTAGAGTAACTCCCATATTTCTGGGTTGGAAAATTGGGGTTCTTTTGCGAAAAGGGATTCTTTTTTAAGATGTCATCCATTGTACACGTTTCAGCTTAAATTCCCCCTCCTTTGTGAAGTCTTCCTCACATTCTTCCTGAACTAATTTCTTTCTCCTTGGAACACCTGTCTGGCTCTCTGTGCATTGTGTTCTTTTACAGCAGAGTTGAGAGCTATATACCTGATAATTATTTGACAAGTATTTGTTGAATCATTGGATAAGAAATTAAGAGAATTTCACATTGATATTATATAAGCTGAATTTACTTAATAAAATTCTGCTACGTTCTTTGTACTATTTGGAGGTAGTCTCTATACACTTTAAGGTACTTAAATTTTTAAAGACGACAGTCCGAATTGACAAAAAAAAAAAATCAAATCAAATATTCAGGTTAGTCATGTATTTGATGATTTTTCCCAGACAGCTGGCTCCTATGTCATGGATGTTGTCTCTCTTTTGTGAGGCTCTTTCTAGTTCCCAGCTTGCATCCTTCAAGATTATTGGTGGCATTAGAGAGTGAGGCTTCCGTGCTAGTGCTCTTCTGGGACGGCACTTTCTGCCTTTGATAGTGACGCATGGAGAATGGCAGCAAGTGGGGCTCTTCCAGAATAACCTTGCAGTTTAAAGGACATCATCAGTTGATTCATAGAAGTACTAGCTTAGAGCAAGCAGCAGAAAAACTGCAACATCAAGCATGATTCTTCTTTTCTTCTAATGTTCTGAGCTTACCTGATGAACTCCTGTGACAGAGCGATTGATTATTGTTGGAAGCATTACTTTGGATGTGATGTAAGAGTCTATGCTAAATTGAAATTGACAGGGTGCATGAGGATTCATTTTGCACATTTCTCACCAAGTGCTAGTTTATTTTATTGGGATGCTTAGAAGTCCTAATAGCTTATCTAGCAATCAATAAACCTAGTGAGTGTTTCTTATGTGCTATAGCAGTGAGTCAAGCTGTTCCCATATTTTGATCCCATCCTTCAATCTTCCTAGCTTTCTGTGTCATAACCAGTAAATATACACTTTGAGCACATCAGGGCCTTTTTCTTGTTCGGTGACCTCTGTCTATTTTACACTAGTCTTTTTTTGTTAATCCTCACCGAGGATATTTTTTTTCCATTGATTTTTAGAGGGGGTGGGAGGGAGAGGGAGAGGGAGAGAGAAAGGGAGGAGAGGTAGAGAGAGAAAAAAAGAGGGAAAGAAAGAAAGAAACATGGATGTGAGAGAGACATATTGACTGGTTGCTTCCTGTATGTGCCCCGACCAGGGCCAGGGATCAAACCTGCAGCCCAGGTCCCAGGTGCCCTTGACCAAAAATCGAACCCCCCACTGAGCACACTGGCTAGGGGTACACTAGTCTTTCAGATCCCCGGAAGCATTTTATTTTTGGCCAGCTAAGATACATGGTTCATTACTTAATTACTCCCTTGCCTTTAGCATCAATTCTGTGGTTCTTGTTCCTTTCCTCTCATTTTTCTGTAGCACTCCAGTCTTGGGTCAGCTTAGCCACCTGACCTGCTGAATGCTGCTGGAGAAAACCACACAATTGTGTATCTTGGGGCCAGAATAAATTTATGATTTCCAACTTTACCTGGGTCTTTAGGACTTTCTCTTCGTCCTAAGGCCTGTTCTAAACTTACCACTCTTTCTAAACTTCCTGTCTCCACCATTTCTCTCCTTCATCTTAGCAGATATCTTGTTTTTTGTTTTTCACTGAAAAAAGTAGTTTCCTCACTGCTTTTTTCCTGTCTTTGTGTCTGAGTCTAAATCAGTGATGGCGAACCTATGACACGCGTGTCATTTTTTTGGTTGATTTTTCTTTGTTAAATGGCATTTAAATATATAAAA